CTGATGTCACTGCTGACACCATGATAACCGCTCACTAACTCGGTGCTCTCATGGTTGGCGTCTGGGTGACTGCAGTAGATTACTGACTCACTAGTTGACCATTTTGACAATCCACATCCATTCCATCTGCTTTCTCAGACACCAACACTTCTGTGTCATATCTTCGTATTTCTTTTGCTATTTGGACAGCCTTCCTAGCCAACCTCGTAAATTGTACGAACAGTCTTGCTTTCATCAATAGAAGACACATTGGCTGCCTAGCTGGATTCCTAAAGGCGGGATTTCACCACCGCACTGTATCCTAGCCTGTATGTACCAACGATTATATCAAGGGTCGCACTCAGGACATTCAGGCTGTGACGTCAGATTGCAAAACTATTCATAACACTGGTTTGGAATTCGATGACATATGAATTCTAACCCCTCGTGATGTGTTCTATATTGCCAATGCAGTGGATGCTCACTGTGTCACAAACTAGGACGAAATAGCTGTCGAAGTACTCCCTGATTTGTGTTTGAACTAGTAGATTAAATGATCACGTGATGTTTAAACACCTTGTGAATTGTCTCTAGATGCAAAACTAATATTAAACTTTTGTGCTAATGATATCAAAGATTTTGAAATATTTCATAGAATTAGATTTTGTGGTTTTCTGTAATGTGTTCACGAGTTACTAATACAAAATAAAAATCCAGAAACTGTTGCATGACAAAAACTGAACATAAAAATATGTCACATACATATTTTGAACCCGAGTACAAACAATCCAAGACTCAACAGCATATTATGCACCTACGAATCCTCTACCAGCTTTCGGACTCGAGATTTTCAGGACACCTTGGCAAGCACGTTGACCATTCAGTTGTTGAAAAAGCAGTTCCATGGATTATAAATTTTGATTTCTAAGAATAACCCGTAACCAAACTTGAAACCAATGAAATCCTTACAAACTAACATATGAAAAGTGATCGGATTCTCACTAGTGACTGACTACAAGATGTAGTTGACTGGAATTCAAACGAGGCGTTGTGATTATAATGGGGTCCTTTGGGTGATTGGGTGTGAGAACAAACGCTCTCCAATAACACTGGCTGGTGGTAGTGCTAAAATAGTTAAATTGACCGAAGTTGAAATGAGCAGATCACTGAATTCTCAACCAGGTGGATGAATAGTTAATGAGCCTGTCCTTATAACACACAGGTCCTCGGTTCGACCCCAGAAGAGGTCCTGGGTGGGTACCAATACAAAGTCACCACCCTAGGATGAAATAGCTTTACAGTACTATGAGGTGGTTAAAAGTCGTTGTCTAACTGATAGCTTGATTGAATGGAGGATTTCATCATTCTAACTTCTGCCAATTCACAATATAGCGCGACAATCCATACAATCAAGCAGAATCCTTACAAAACCAATAATTGTGAATTAAATCATAGTTATCCGTGGTCAAAGTTTGAACGAATCAAATCCGCATAAACTAACTCCTAAAATCTCAAGATCCATAAATTGTTTGAATTTTAAAATAACACCCAAGATGTATAATTCATACTAAAGGCCTTATAACATACTTTAACAACGACGCTTACAGTGGCGTTTCTGCGTTTGTGTAACGATATGTGCAATATATTACTTAGATATTTAACATAAAATTATAGGTTGGTGAAATGCTTAAGAGATTTATTACTTTGCACAACTACAGAGTTCTTGCCAGTCTGTGACAGTGGTTACATGTCGGCTTGATGCTTCAGTGTTAGAATATATACAAAACTCTTTTTGGATGGATGGGTCCTCATCCAACTTCTGCCAGCCGATGTCATGGGCAAATAAAGGTCCACTTGCCTGACATTTTGCAGGTCGCGGGTTACTTATTCTCACCAAAATCTCAGGTACTTCCTGCCTCGTGAATAGGGCCAGTCTCTAGTGAGCATCAGATTAATTATCAATTTTTAGTTTATAGCGCATGAAGGTTGAGCTGAATACATAACACGAATTGTCAGAAGTTAGAATTCATGAACTGGTCACTGGAATGCGTCACAATGGCTTAATGGTCTGCGGGCTTTCCGCGTAGCGGGAAGGTCTTGGGTTTGAACCCCGTCGGGTGGGGGTGTACTGGTAGAAAGTCCTCTGTCAGGTCGAAACAGCTGCCAAGTACTCCCCAGTGGTTTTCAATAGTTCTTCAACAAATTTCAGATAGTGATCGATCCTGTAGACAATCCAATTCCTGCAAATCAACACTTGGTAAAGTCGAAATTCGCGAGTCATTTAATTTCAGCTCAAGTGGCTAAATGGTGTAAGGACCTTAGTCTTGCAACTTCGGGTTCTATTCCTGGTGGGAATATGAGTATGTACAACTTATCAGTCTAAGAATAGGGTGAAACGACTGACTACTGGTCTCCGATTTTCAATGATCTGTCTAACTGATGTCAATTAGTGAAGAAATTTTGACAAGTGAAGTACAAAAATTACTTTCTCGTGATGCTGTATTCGGCCTATTGCATAAGGAGTGTTTTATTTTCACTTGTATGTAAGTAGCGCAATTTCAAAATGGGAATATTTAGGCACTGTCATGTCATTCCTTATTCAGAGCACTTCCAGCTTGAATATCCAATAGTAGAGGTTTTGTCGCCTGGTTAGGCATTAGCTTTGGTATGACTTTCAATAAGTCATCTTCTAAATGTTTATCTCCATGTTTATAATTTCGGCCAACATTTTTGTTCTAATAATAAACTAAACATAATCTAGAAAATGTTTATTTCGCTAAAAACATCAAATTCAATTAAAAATGAGATTTTTTTTAGAAGAAAAGCATCTTATTTCCCCTTGAATCACAAAACGACAGTTTTACTGTCTCATTGCGTGCTTACTTGGGTTAGAAAACGAATTCAATTTTGAGTCTACTGGCTTGCGCTTTTTCCTACTTTGAATGCAGAGTTAACCATTCCAACGGTGTTATTCATGCTCCTTCAAATTTTCGTTCTTATTTCCAAGAAATGTACATTCTTTTTTTTTCTATGAGACGATGAAGTTTTAAAATAAAATAAATTAAATTTGATGTTTAATCAGGTGAATAAAATGTTTTAATTATTTGAGAATGGTCTCTATCAATCATAGATTATCCAATATTTTTTTATTGGTATATCCTGCCGATTGATCACATCGGAGGGAAATCCACGATGTCTGTTAGTTAACATGTCGGGTGACATCATAGACTTATCGATGACAAATAAACAATTACATGCTGTTAACTGGTTGAGAATGGTTGACAGAAGAACTCAAGAGGATCACTTTGTCCTGTTGGGGACTCCTACACTGGATGTATCTTCATCATCGCAAGTGAGAGATGATATACTCAGTGAAACTGAAGCCTTGCATCCATCGTTTCAAAAAGTTTAATTGTTATAACGCTATTATTCTCATAATTCCCAAGTGAAACACAGGTCCTCAGTAAGACATCTCCACTATGTCCTGTCTTCTGAATTCCTCTTGTTCCTATTCGATTTCTGCTTGATTGATTGCCTGGTGCACGATGTCACGAAACAGTTTCCTCAGAGTGTATCCAATTTGTCTACATATTTCTTGAACACTAGTTTCTTGTTAAGCTGTGCGTCGGTGGCACAGTGCTTAGGACTCTCGCCGACCATGCACATGATCCAAGGTTCGAACCCCCGCCGACGCACACCTGATATCTATGGTCGGCCTGCAAAATTTGGGCTACCGATATCCATGCTGAAAATTCCATACTTGTACTAAAAATACAGTGTGGAATCAAGCTGTAAATGAAAAAAAGCTCGTCTCCAAAGTTTCTTGTTGTTAATCCTTTCTATCCCGTCATCTGATCATCAGGATAGCGACGGAGAAGGTTGATTCTGATAAAAGTCATGCATGTAGCTGTTGGCAATGCCTTTCTTGGAATGCTAGAAGAACTGACAGGATTAACATTGGTGTTTGACAATGATTGCAGGTTATTAAGGAAAATTTGACTATCTTCCTCACGCCCATCTTCCCTATGTTCACTTGATGTCTTGTCCTAGCTGCCTGTCTCTTCTGACAATTAGTTGATTTCTGGCCTGTAATTCTTCAAATCTGCGTGACTCTGAACGTAAATCTTCCACGAAGTCAAGTTCTTCTAGAGTCTTCGTGTCAGTCCACTGTACTTATGTCTTCTTACTCCACATAGTGAGCCACACAATCCAACCCACAATCTTCTGTGGATCACCTGACACATGGAAGCGTTATATAGCTATGGAATAAAGTTAATAAAGATTTCAGGCATTTCATATTGTTGAAGTAGCTTCCAATTTACTTCGTGGTCAACGCCAGTGAAAGCATTTTCAAAATCAATGAATCTATGATGAAGGTTTTAACCATTATTCTATGCTTTGTTCGATGATGATGCACAGAGGTACAATTTGATCTGCACATGATTAGCCAAAGTGAGATTCATTTAAAAAATAAATAGGGTGGCTAGATTCCTTTTCCATCCATGATCAACCAGCTTAACTCTAACATATAATGCATGCTGACTAGCAGTGAAATCCAGGATACGAATTTCGCCCTATCTCGTACACATCAACCGAGAGTACCCACAACTTCTGGTGGCTGATGGATGGTGTTCCCGTTGAGAATTAAGCAAAAAAAAACAAACAAATTAACTGATTTTTAATTAGTTAGAGGATTTCATCATGAGCTGACAGCCATCGATTAGAGAACCATTGGAAAACCAGCAGAGAGTACTAGACAGCCAGCTGTTTCGTCAGCCTAGTTTGGGACTCTTCGTCATTACGCACCCATCACAGGAGGTATGAACCCAGAAGCTTCTGGTTACAAGGTGAGCTCGTAGACCATTCAGCCTTGTAGGACCCAGTTCAACGTCCATTGCATGAATTATAACTTCTGTCAATTCTCGACTTCACAACACTTATGTCTTTTAAATCCAAATGTTTCTTCTCTTCCCTCAAGTTGTATTATTTGTATCATTATTTTGTTTTCCGTATTCATTTAGGTAAGAATATACTATACTGTCAAGCAACAGTGAATTCAATTCATCAGTGTTGGCCACCTACCTTAGCTGGGCATATTGCAAAACTACCTTGTCCAGCCAATATCACTGGTGTACGTTATGATAAAAATGGTAAGTTGGTAGTGAATTCCACCTGGTTTTATCTATCTCAAAAATGAATGTTCATAAACAGGTTTAAATTTAGAATTTGATATTGAGCTATCTAAATAGGAAAATTATGTTGTCGGTGACACAGTGGTTAGGACTCTCACTGACCATGCACGTGATCCGGGGTTCCAGCCCATGCCGGCGCACACCTGATATCTATGGTCGGCCTGCAAAATTTGGGCTACCGATATCCATGCTGAGAATTATATATATGTACCAAAAATACAGTGTGAAATCAAGCTGTAAATAAAAAAACATGCCCAAAAAGACGATTATAAACACATGTGGTCTTGTTTATGAATAGATAGATCAAGAAACGTCTTCTATTTCAAGAAATATGTGTCTGAAAATTTGACGTTTCAACGGTACACAATTAGTCATAATGTCCTCACTGATTTTTGGCCGTTGTTCTCTCAGTTAGGTCATAGGTTAAAGACTTAACTTTCATTAGAAAAAGACATATAAGGGAACAATATTATTGTTTTCAATTAAATCTTCAACAGGCTTTAGTCTAATTTACATAGATTTATATATAAAAAGCAGAGGAGAGACAAAGGTAGAACAGACCTCTTTTGTTGTATGCAAAGATTAGGATTTTTTTCTCTAATTAATTCCCATAGCTTCGGCTATGTGAAAAAAGGGGTTCGAATTCTGTTCGAAAGGGTCGCTGGAATGCGACAGATAACTTTGAAGTCACTATTTTTATTCACTTGGTGACCTTTTTCATCAATCAAATGAGCCAAAATAGAACTTCGTATAGATTTTATTTGACCTTTTCCGAACCTTGAAGGAAAGAAGATGCTCATTAATGGTGCATTTGTTAAGCTATCTAATTGTTCACCCTATATATAGCTAGCTTTCTCCTCAGGAGCAACTAAATTTATAGATACACATCGAAGTGGCACAGCTAGGTAGCTTGTCTTTCACTTAAGCAATTGAAATCGGTCGGTAGCTGGAAAATGACAAACAAAGGGTGGCGGCAGTATAAGTCCGTTTTATCGCTCTCGATAATCTCAGATGTAAGACTTCACCAGCCACGTTCCCATTAAATTGCAATTTCATGAACAGTTGTTTCTTTTCAACTGTTGTCAGTTCGTATTGGACCAGCTTATTTTCGATTTATGCTAAGCTTTCATTGTCTTCTAGGCAACCTTTTCAGTGAGATACTTCAGCTTGAAGTGAACTTTCAGTATTCTCCATGAGTTAGTTAGCCATCACTCATGATAATTTCAATCAGGATTACTTATTTCTGGTTACTTTCTCGCCTTGTAGTCCACTTGCATTCATATAATTCATATTACAGAATGTTATTCGTAACTCGAAAGTCCCTAGTTCGATTGAAGTTGAGGTCATCCATGGTTGTGTACAGTCGTAGAGTTGCATAGTGAGACGAAGCAGCTGTCTAGTACGATGTCTGGTGGCTTACGACGGCTTTCCAGTTGATATCAGTCTATGATCAAATATGCATAGAAATAAGTTAATTCCGTTTCAGAAAGTTGGCCATCAATCAGTACAGACATCAAGGACTTCAAGGACATCCCTAGATGATTGTGTTTCTATGAGTTAGAGTAAATTTGGTACAATCTGTGGTATAGAGAATCAAATAGTTCCCACTATGGCTTAACAGTGACCTTTTGAAATCAAAAGCTTCCACGGTATCAGTCCGTATTGCTATTAGGCAACTAATTCCAGTTGAACAGTTAAATGATGAGCAAAACATAGACTTGCATCGATCTAAAAGTGAAGTAAACTGTCTAGTCAGCTATACAGCCTGTCAAAATAGAATTATGCCAGTAATTATATAATTACTTAAAAAGTAACTCAGCGTAAATATGAAGTGTTTTTTCTGGTTTTTCCACTATGTTAGCCACGGTTACCACTGAAGAATTTATTCAGAGAAAAAAAGCCAAGTTGTGATTTCTTCTGAACACTTTTGGGATTGTTTAAAATCCCCCTTTCCTATTTTTTAATGATTCAATCAGACTCAGGGATGAAATTATTCCAGGAAGCTTGAAATATCTACCGTTTTGACTATTAATTTAATTTTACACAGCTGTGGATTGAATGAAAAATCACTGTTTTCATTTGTGTACGATATTCTCAAGGGAGAAGTGATTAATATATCTGAATTTGTAGAAGTAATTTTGTTCCCCTTTTGTTCTTATAAATCCAGTTCAATAATTTTACAATTTGTATAGTTCAAATAGATGATTATTTGATCGGATACTAGGTGGAAGTATCTTAAGTCACGTGTCGACTCCTTCGTTTGGTGCAGATTGAATTCTATCACTCAAGTTTGCATTGTGACCACCCTGCTACTAGGTGGCTCGCCATCATGTTGCACTATTAATTGTTGTTAGGATGTTGAACACAATCGGTAGAGGAAGTCTTCGACATAGATTGTGTTTTTTTTGACACTCACCAGTCAACGAGATGTTTCTGCTGCCTTGAAGGAACTCAGGTCCCCTCTGAGACTTGAACCTGTCTTACACAGTGCTGCTTTCACAGATGTTACCAATGGGCTAACAGGGCCAGTGCGTCGGTAGCACAGTGGTTAGGACTCTCGCCGACCATGCACATGGTCCGGGGTTCGATCCCCTGCCGACGCACACCTGGTATCTATGGTCGGCCTGAGAAATTTGGGCTACCGATATCCATGCTGAAAATTCCATACTTGTACCAAAAATACAGTGTGAAATCAAGCTGTAAATTAAAAATATAAAAAAATAAAAGATTTACTACCTGTAGGCTTGAAACTGATGTTCCAGCAGACTGAATTCTTCATTCAAGTTTGCAATCTAGTCACCATGCCTGGTAGCTCGCTATCTTCACCTTTGAAGGAGCTCATATTCCTCATGAGATTCGAAATCGAGTTACTCAGATTGTAGATGCACCATTCTGACGAGTGCCACAAGCATAAATCTTAGAATCAAGGCTTCCTTCCGCTTGTATCCTACTTTATGACAATACAGATGATGTTATCAGATATGTATGAGGTGAATTAGAAGATTAATTTTTGTTAAGTAGCATAAATTTTGAAGAAATCATAAGTGATGAGTGTTTTCTAATAGATATGTTATGCTTCGTCAAGTCATATGGCTTATGTCTATAAGAAATTATTCCAAGGCTTCATTTCTTGTGATTATTCATTAGATTCCCGAGTGGATCGTAGAGCCACAAGCCTGAGCTTTGAAGTTTCAGTAACTTCACGCATAATATCGTCTGTTTTCCTTGCTTGTTATATTGTGGGATACTATGTACCATATGCTTGGTTGATGAGGATTCTACTAATGAACTATAGTTGAAACAAATAAGTTTAATATATGTAAAGTATTAGGGTACGAATAGTTCAGTGACAAATCTTTCTTTCAATAAATACACTTTCGATACCGCATATATAATTATGCGTAGAACAAAAATTGCCTTCACGAGTTAAATGTTATGGGTTTGAGGAATAATGTGTTAAAAGCAGAGAACATATGACAGATTTATCACCATTAGACATGTGAATCTCGCAACTGCATTGAGTTCGTTCCCCGGGATCATCGTTGATTCTTGTTCCATAGGGGTTTACACAGGGGTCATTCATATTTCGATGAAATTAGATGACTGTAGTTTGTAGATGATCTATCTTCAAAGATTTTACTTCAGAGCATTTACACTCATGACTACAAATTTGCAACTACTTCGCTACTAGGGTGTGCCACTGACAATTATACATCTCATCCAACAGTTGTCCGACAATGCTGCATGCCAAGTAATCCACGATGGGAAACTTATGAAATCCTTCAAAATAAGGACGGGAGTGAGGCAAGGCTGTCTACTATCACCAATGATCTTCCTAATTGCAGTTGACTGGATAATGTGACAGACAGAGGCGAGCAACAAGGAAACAGGCATAAAATGAACTGACACAAAAAACTTGGAGGATCTGGACATCGCCGATAGAATACGTCTGATTTCCACAAACTGGAAGATATGCAAGGGGAAAGCAACAAGTTGGCAGAAGAAGCATCAAAGATAGGACTTCAGGTGAACATAGAGAGAACATAAGTGAAAAAGATTCCTGGCTAACAACAACAGCAACAACACCAACAGACAACAATCACCATAAATGGGAGGAGCCGGAAAGAAACAACCTCCTTTACCAATCACCTAGGAAGCATCGTTTCAACTACAGGCGAACAGAACTGACGAGGCCATCAAACCAAGAATCGGAAAAACAAGACAAGCTTTTATTACTCTTAAGTCTGTGTGAAGGTCAACATCACTCATCATCAAAAATAAGATCCGGATTTTCAACTCCAATGTGAAATCAATGTTACTATACAGATCAGAGACTTGGCCACGCGTCATAAAGAGCATCGCACACAAACTACAGACCTTCATCAACAGTTGTCTTTGCTCAGTACTCAAGATCAGGTTGCCGGCCAGAAAAGATCAGCAGTAGGGACCTCTTGGAGCGAACCAACCAACAACCGATTATGCAGAAATATGCAGGAAGAAATGGGGATGGATTGGTGGCCATACTCTGAGAAAACAAACCATCAAGTGACATCACTAGACAAGCCATTGCTCAAGTGAAACCCGAAAGGGAAGCAGCGAGTTGGTCGTCAATGTGGGGGTGACTTGGGGAAGGTCATGTGAAGAGGAGGTGAAAGCGTTTGGACAGACTTGGAGAGGGGTGAAAAAGTTGTCAGGAAACCGAAGGCAATGAAGACGCGCAGCTGAAGCCCTATATTACTCTAGGAATTAAAGGATATAATAATAATATTATCATCTATATATAACCATTGTAATTTCAGGTAGTCAATGGCAGCTGATAAGAACCCTTTGAAATAGAATGATAACATCATTCTATACTGCAGATTTCGTCATCCTTTCTTTATCGAAATAGCTGAAAATCTATAAATGAGAATATGCCTGAGTATACGCTGAAATTCTTGGACATAGTTGTTTGATTA